CGGAACCTTCCCCAGAACTTGGCCTAATTAGGCGACCGCGCGGCGAGGCTTCCCCTATTTAAAATTCCAGGGCTTCATTAAATAAAGATTTCGGTAGATGGAGTCCCATTTGGCGGTTCGGATCATGCGATCTGGGTCCCGCGTATCTGTCGGACTCCCGATTTCAATCCTCCTATTTAGGCGAAAATCTCGAGTTCGCGGAGCAACGGGCGAGGAAGCCGCGAGGCGGCCAGAGGGCCGCCTGTGTCACTCGTTGCGAGCGCGCTTTTCATTTCCCTTCTCTCTCGGGGCCGAACAGAGCCCGTGTCTGCATTGCGTAACGCGGAGCGAGCGCCGCGCTGCGATAGTCGCATGTCCCTCGGATTTTCTCGTCATATTCCCTTGTCCGACGAAATCGCGCCGATTTTTGGCCGTAGACTATCCTTTTAATAATTTTCTCTCTTTGTCGCATTCTCGGGATCTAACGTTTGTCTCCTTTCCGATTCCGGAGCGATTTTCTTTAATAATCTTGTTAATCGTTCCTCAACGAAGTGCTTTCCTAAAAAGCTCGATTCCTTGGGTCTAAGATTTATCCTAGGACCATTTCGAAAATCCTGAGACATTTCCAGTCTTCCTTTCTATATCTTCACTTTATTAAGACGGTCTAGAAAATGTTAAGTCCCGCGGAACCGTCCTGTTTTACTCACGCGCTATTTAATGTGCGATAGTACCTCCGACTAATTTTTCCTATGTTCCTCTCTTTCATATATTTTGTTTCCTTCCCTTTGAAAAGATCTGAGAACCGACCCTTCCCCGTTTCAGTCTAAAGTACGTCCCTCCCGCGATTATTTGCGATTTAAGTTCCTTTTCGAACCGATTAATATTTCTAAATCCCTTCAGCGTTCCATTTAGAACAAGTTCGGTTCGCGTATATTTTACAATAATATTCCTCGATTCCTTATCTCGTTTTTATTATTTTACTGCCAGCCACTCTTTCAGGTCTGTCTTTTATTAAAGTTCCTACATGGAGCTCGAATCATATACCTTCCGTGAATTTGTTCTAAATCCCTCGCGCGAGCTATCTCCTTTAACACGTTGATTGCCACGTCACCCATATTCGGGTGACATAGCAGTCAAATAAAATGCGCGTGGCAGTCAACGTGTTAAGATCGCGACTCTTAAAATTTAAAGTCCCGATGCGTTACATTTAGTGAGAGTTCCTCGCGCTCCGCGACAGTCTTCCCGACGGAAGAGAATTCCCGATTGGATGTTATATTGTCCGGAACGCGCATTTACAATTATTAATTATTTGCCTTTATTTGTCGCGGGCAATATTATTATTATTCGACAGCCCATTTTAAGTATCATTATTTTTCGCGCATCGACGGCACTTCATCGAATAATTGCCGGGTTTCAGCCGATCGGTCCAATGTTAAAATTGATTCTGTCTATTGCATTCTACAATCGAAGTCTATCTCGGGTGAATAAATCGTACTGTTATTAACCCTTCAATTTGCAGTTTATTTTCTTTTATTTATCAAGGCAAACCTTTCCTCTCAGCGGAAGGAAATCGGGTCCCTTCCGGACAAGTTAAAGTAACGGGAGTTAAATGCCCTTACCTCGCCCCTCTCGGCGGCCATTTCGGTGGCCAAACCATCTGAGCTAACTGACCCTTCGCCCTGGCCGCGAGACCCTTTGGAGTAGAGACACATTTTGGGGGAGTCTTCTCCAAGGACGGGCCTCGGAGAAGCCGGGAATAAACCCTTCGCCCTCGTCTTCCAGCTCCGCTCTCGGGGGGAGCCCGAGACCTTAGGGAAGGGAGGCTCAAAGTTCCTTGAGATTTGGCGTCTTAGGACGGCTGTCGCTCAATCGGTACATAACTAGCGTGTGTGGATCGTCCTCGATCGATCCAATACCGTAGCGTAAATTTATAAATAGATTCAGATTAACAAATAAGTAATTTCTACAGCGCTAACGGTGCGAGCGTACCTGCGCTCGAACCGCGCGACCTTTCGCGTCATCATAACTCTCCGCCGAGGGTAGAGGACCGCCATAGAACCCCATGGCCAAGGCGCTCGTTTCACTTTTTTTTATGTTTTAGAGGTCTCCTCTTTAAGGGTGTCCATCTGTCGCTCTCGACTCATATGGAAACAATCAAGTCGCAAACTTTTCCAAACCTTCCGAGAAGGACAATTTATTTCTCAAGCACTTAAGCCTAGCTTTCTTAATTTCGGCACGTACCAATGAGTGGCAATTTGTCACCATATTTCTTAAGTCCTTTCCAAGTTCCTTCTCGGAAGTACTTCTCTAGGAGTCCATCTTGCAGTCGCCACCTACACCTCCTTGACTGTAATGACTTCCCTTCCTACGCTCCTTCGCAACCAATCGGCTGCATTGCAAAATGCAGCCCATTTTTTTATCTCGACCTATCCTCGGAAATCCTCACAAAACTCTACCCTCTCAAAACTTTCTCCGAGGTCTCCATACTCCGAGATCTTCATCGGAAAACCAGAATCTGTTCATCCTCCGAAAAAGGCATTTTCTCCGGCACCGACGCGACTAAGCATCAGTTCAAACGTGAACACTTTTGCTCGGGTCGTAACACAATAACATTCTCACACGGTTCGCTGCTCCGCAAACGCAAATAAACGCTACTTATCACAACAAAACTACTCGCGTGAGTTTCCGTTTAAGTTAGCGCGAGATCCGTCGCACTGTAGTGCGCGGTACATATGGTCCTTTGAGCCAGATCCAGCGACTAATCCGTGTGTACGTTAACATTCGTGAGTGATCGAGCAATCGCATTTCGATCACTAAAGCGGTGACTCTCACCGCTCTCTTGTCCCCCCCATTGTTGAAATCACTCTGATTTCATCTGGGGACAAGGATCCAAGTTGCATCGTCGCCAACTTCAGCGATCCGCCCAGGCCTCCTATCACTCAACAACCCTCCTGCAGTACGCCCGTCCTTCCATTCGATAAGGACGAGAGGCTGCAGCATCCACATCATCAAGGGACCGGACCGCTGGGATTACGTCATATTCATACAACAGCGGACGGCAACGAAGGCATCGAAACGGTAAGCTCGTTACATCATAGGAATCATCGCTTTCCTTTCGCCAATTTCCTTCCCTTTGTTATCAATTAACTTCGCTTCACGATGGCTAACGTAGATACCGTCAAAATCCTCATCAAAAAACGCGGTACCCTCAAGGCCGCGATAACCGTGTTTCGGAAATTCCTCGACGAATTTAAGCAGCAGCGTCCGGATAGACTCAGATTAGATCTCCGTATGCAAAAATTCAAGGCAACTTTCGCGAAACTAGACGAAATACTTGATGAGCTGGATCTACTCGACGAAGAAACGGACCACACCGCCGAGCGATTCGCGATACAAGAGGATTATCTCGATTTATTAGCCGAAGCCGAAAATCTCATCCGCGTCATACCGGGATGCGCGCAAAATTCGACAAACGATACCGACGCCCCTGCTGAAGTATCAGTCGAACCGGTTACAAGAACGCAGACGGAAATCGCGAATATTTCCGAACCAAACCACCGACGGAAAACGTAATTTCGTCACCGGCCACCGTAATGGCCTGTCGAAGACGCATAAAATTGCCCACCGCGTCTCTTCCATCGTTCGACGGCCGATACGAAGAATGGTTGCCGTTTAAGGGCACGTTCACGTCAATGATCGTCGTTCAAGACGACTTAGCGAACATCGAAAAGCTACAGTATTTAAAATCTTCACTAAAGGGAGAAGCGGCAAAAAAGATCCAAGTATTATCCGTAACGGAGGCTAATTACCCTCGAGCGTGGGATCTGTTGCAACGCGCGTACGAGGATAGGCGGCTCATTACCTCGCGGCATCTCAGTTTACTTTTGAGGTTACCAGTCCAAACGAAAGAAACTGCCGACGGTTTGGTCAAACTCGCGGACGAGACGCAACAGCATCTCTTATCGCTCTCGTCGCTCGGGATCAACGTAACCGAAGAAATTGTCGTGCAAAATCTAGAGGAAAAACTCCACAAATCCACGATAGAGAAATGAGACGAAACTCTACGTAAGGACGTCTTCCCGAGTCTCGAAGACATGTTGGAGTTTTTATATCGGACCGCGGCGCGATTATCCAAACGAGACACCGAAAAAACCTCCTTATTTGAACATTGATCCTCGGAACAAAAACTAGAACATATCGGGCAAACAAACATTCTTAACGGTCGCAAAGAAATCGTGTCCAATGTGCAAGGACCAACCGCATCCGCTGTATCGTTGCGAACCCTTTCGCGCCTTAGGCGTCAGCGAGCGGCACAAAGTCATACAAAATGCATCCCTACGCATTAATTACCTTCGCAGAAATCACGAATTGGCGAATTGCAAATCCGGAGAGTGCATGCTTTGCCATCAGCGCCATAACACCGTTCTACACGGCCATTTCGGGAAAAAGGCGTCGAATAGTCAATCATGATTAACGCCAACTCTTCGGAAGCATCATCGCTGCATTTCCACGACTACACGAGCACGTATCGGACAATTGATGCCAAGCGCAATCATCTACGTTATCGATAAGAACCGACAACTCGTTCCTTGTCGAGCTCTTCTCGAGACGTGCTCCACCGCTAACTTTATCACCGAAAAATTAACGACATCCCTGCAGTTGCCGAAGGAAAGATGCTCCATCCCAGTGGGTGCTCTTAATGACATGAGCACGACCACCAAATACACGTTAGATGTAACCATACGATCGGCTCACAACGCATACGAATGGACGATCCGTTTCCTCACGATGAAACGGATTTCATACCAAATGAAATCATTCCGCGAGAATCCATCGATATTCCCGCAAATATCCGACTCACCGATCCTGACTTCCATAAGCCAGGACCTATAGACATACTTTTGGGCTCCGGACCGTCGTTATCACTGTTTTGTATCGGTCAAATAAATTTATCCCGCGAAGGCTCGGATTTAATCCTTCAGAAAACCCGCCTGGGTTGGATAATCGGCGGCGGCGTGATCATGCCCATTCTCAGATCACCAATTTCGGCAGTCACCTATCTCACGAATTTGCAGTTCGATCTAACTAAATTCTGGGAGATCGAAGAAGGACCGACGAAACCTCATTTTTCGTCAGAGGAAATTGCTTGCGAGAAGCATTTCCAGAAACACGCGACGCGAAATACCGACGGCCGTTACGTAGTCGCCCTGCCTTTCCGAGAGGAACATATAAATCTCGGAGAATCACGCGCAAGGGCTTTAACACGATTGAACGCGTTGAATCGAAAATTCATCAACAATTCGGCATTACGCGAACAATACGCCGCAGTCATCGACGAATATAAATCGCTCAGGCACATGGCCGTTTCAGATCCCGTGCAGGAAAACGGATTTTATCTACCGCATCACGCCGTGGTTAAGGAGAGCAGTACAACGACCAAGTTGCGCGTTGTCTTCGACGGCTCGGCCAAATCCAGCACCGGAATATTTTTAAACGAAACTTTAATGGTCGGTCCGACAATCCAACAGGATATATTCACTTTAACTACTCGATTCCGCACGCATAACTTTGTCCTAACCGGGGATATAGACAAAATGTACCGGCAGTTTTTAGTACAGGAATCAGACAGAATGTTTCAGCGAATCCTGTGGACAGATTCCAACGGTGTCGTTAAGACATATGGGCTTAACACCCTCATATTCGGGTTAGCATCTGCTCCCTTCCTCGCCATCCATTGGATACACCAATTAACAGATGATGAGAAACACCGTTATCCCACGGCAGCCAAAATCCTGCAGAGAGATCTATACTTAGACGATCTACTCACAGGTGCCGACACAATCGAGGATGCCTTGGAAATTCGAAACGAGGTCATCGAGATGCTGCGTTTGGAAAAATTGAATCTGCGACAGTGGGCTTCCCCGATCCACGCCTGCTTCAAGGTCTCCCGGAAACCAGCGTACATTTGAAACTGCAACTTGGCGAGGACAATACGCTAAAAACTCTGGGCCTCTTTTGGAATCGTGGAACGACACGATTACGTACACCGTGAAACCCCCAACGATGGGCTCCACGGCATCCAAAAGACAAATTCTCGCGGAAATAGCAAAAATATTTGATCCATTAGGCCTTTTAGGACCAATCATATTATATGCCAAGGAACTAATGCAAGGACTTTGGCAACTGAAACTTGATTGGGACGAATCGGTACCGTCTACCGTACATACTAAATGGACAAATTTTTGCACACAATTGAACCTGATTCACGATATTTCTTTTGATCGAAAGGTACTCATCGCTCAGCCCACTAACGTCCAGATTCACGGTTTCTGCGACGCTAGCGAAAGGGGATACGGAGCCTGCCTTTACATCCGATCGAAGAATTCCGAGGGGCACATTCAATGCAATTTAATTTGTTCGAAATCGCGCGTCGCCCCACTAAAAACCGTTTCACTGCCACGGTTAGAATTATGTGGAGCACAATTATTCGCAAAATTGTGTTATCAAATAAAAGACACGGTCGAGGTACACATCGATGACATTATCCTTTGGACCGACTCGATGATTACTCTACATTGGATTAACACCTCTCCACATCAGCTAAAAACTTTCGTCGCCAATCGCGTCGGCGATGTCAACGAGAAAACGAAATCCAAACAATGGCGTCATGTTCGATCCGCGGACAATCCCGCGGATGCTTTATCACGAGGTCAATCACCCGCAGAATTCGTAAAAAATTCCCGCTGGAAACATGGTCCACCGTGGATAACGCAGGAAGAAGACTTGTGGCTCGCAACTTCAATCGCAGCCCCGGAAGAGCTGCCAGAAATACGGAGGGAGACTTGCCTCGTTACAAGCACGGATTGCGAGATCTTTCAACGTTTCTCGTCATTTAACAAGATGAAACGAATTCTTGCTTACTGCCTGCGATTCAAACAGAAGGGGTTACGCAGAGGATCGCCCCAACTCGACGAGCTACTCAACGCGGAAAGGGTGATCATCAGACAAACGCAGAGATCATGCTTCGCGAAAGAATCTAATGACCTGAGTCAAGGAAAAAGAGTTGCGACCACAAGTAAGATCGCTTCTTTAGATCCGTTCCTCGACAAGGAAGGCATATTGAGAGTAGGTGGTCGCCTAAAGCACGCGAATCTCCCTTACTCTCAACAGCATCCGATGCTCCTTCCGCGGTCTCATCACGTCACGGATCTCATCATTGAAGATCATCATCGGCGGAACTTTCACTCAGGAGTGCAAACGACACTTTACACGTTGCGACAACGATTTTGGCCATTGGACGAAAGAAACCAGGTCCGAAAAATCATACGGAGGTGTATAAAATGTTTCCGGGCTAATCCTCCCTCGGTGCAATATCGAATGGGCGATCTGTCGTACGTGCGCATCACGCCAGCCCGCGCTTTCCTAAACGTGGGAATCGATTATTGCGGTCATTTCTTCATAAAGGAAAGGAAATTTCGAAACCGAGCAAGAATAACGGTATACATTGCCGTCTTCGTTTGCCTCGTCGTCAAGGCCGTCCATTTGGACGTAGTCAGTGATCTGATCACTGAGGGCTTCCTAGCCGCCCTCCGTAGATTTATAGCTCGACGTGGGCGACCGCAAGAAATCCATTCAGATAACGGGACCAATTTTGTCGGAGGCAATAACGAATTGAAGGAAATCAATGAAGGCCTTCACTCCGATCCTTCACGACACAAAATTTCGCATTTTTTTAAACGATCAAGGAATTCGGTGGTCACACACATCTCCGCTTTTACCTCATTTTGGAGGTCTGTGGGAATCAACCGTGAAAAACTTCAAGCACCACATGAAACGCGTAGTAGGAGATGTTTTATTCACATTTCGAGGAATTCAATACGTTCGTCATCGAAGTTGAAGCAATTTTGAATTCTCGTCCACTCACACCCATTTCCTCTAATCCAAATGATTTGTCGTCCCTCACTCGGGGTCATTTTCTTGTCGGTGATTCGTTAACGAGCTTGTCTGAAATCGATGTTACCACTACGCCGATAAATCGATTGTCAACCTGGCAGCACATTCGAAAGGTTCGACAGGATTTTTGGTCTAGGTGGTACAAAGAGTATCTCAGTGAACTCAACGTACGCCATAAATGGACCAATGGCGATCACGGCATCAAGGAGGGGTCTCTGGTCATCCTCAAGGAGAACAACCTACCACCGATGCAATGGGTCCCGGGCAGAGTCATTAAAACCCATCCCAACAAGGATGGAATCGTGCGAACTGTTACGCTTAAGACCGCAAAAAATGAATTTGATCGCAACGTAAGAATGTTAGCACCCTTACCGATCAAATCCAATCTGACGGACTCGTGTCCGCAATAGTTTAATTAGTAATCGCTGTTGATCGTATCCTCTCAACGGGGGAGTCTGGACCGTCTTCGATCGATCCAATACCGTAGCGTAAATTTAGAAATAGATGCAGATTAACGAATAAACAATTTCTACAGCGCTAACGATGCGAGCGTACCTGCGCTCGAACCGCGCGACCCTTCGCACCATCATAACTTCTCCGCCGAGGGTAGAGGACCGCCATAGAACCCCATGGTCAAGGCGCTCGTCTCCCTTTTTTTGATGTTTTAGAGGTCTCCTCTTTAAGGGCGTCCATCTGCCGCTCTCGACTCATATGGAAAAAATCAAGTCGCAGACTTTTCCAAACCTTCCGAGAAGGACAATTTATTTCTTTAGCGCTTAAGCCTCGCTTTCTTAATTTCGGCACGTACCAATGAGTGGAAATTGGTCAACATATTTCTTAAGTCCTTTCCAAGTTCCTTCTCGAAAGTACTTCTCTAGGAGTCCATCTTGCTGTCCCCACATACACCTCCTTGCTGCAATGACTTCCCTTCCTACGCTCCTTTGCAACAAAAATCGGCTGCATTGCAAAATGCAGCCCATTTTTTTCTCTCGACCTATCCTAGGAGAGGATCACTTCGAACACGTTCGCTCGGGTCGTAACACAATAACATTCTCACACGGTTCGCTGCTCCGCAAACGCAAATAAACGCAACTTATCACAACAAAAATACTCGCGTGAATTTCCGTTTAAGTTAGCGTGAGATCCGTCGCACTGTAGTGCACGGTACAGTGTGAGTGCTCAGGGGTGAGTGCGAGCCAGGGCGGAGGCTAAGTACATTGGGACTTAGGGCCCTTTTGTGAACAATAGGTATCCCTCGGGTGAGATACACGTCACAGTTTATACATTATTAAGACTAAATATGTCATTAAGATATTCAATAAATATTTTAGATATTTTCAAATGAAATCTACAAGTCATCTTGAAAAATCTGTCGTTTGAGGTATTTAGCAAAGATTACAAAATCATATTTAGAAATTATTGTGTGCTACTAGGGAAGTGAACATGATTTCGCGAAAAGAATTGCATGCACAAAAATTGGTCTCAAGTGTAAAAAATATTACTGACAGTATTATTTGACGTAGAACCTGATAATTAGCAAATAAATGTTTTTTGAAGCCGGCACAAGAACGAGTTCGCCGGTAACTCTTCAAAATTTGAAAGAAAACGTCACAGATATCGGTCATTCCATTAAACCCCAGTTTGTTAAAAGAATAATATTAATCCTTTCAAGCAAAGTGTACTAGTGACCGGACACCTAAGATACCGTTCAGATTGAAATAAAGATTAAGTACATAAAGACCGATGCGCGGTACAAATGACTCGGATGAACATAAAATGAACATGAAAATTGAAATCGTCCCCGGAGGGTGAAATTTGGGGGGTACACTACCCCCGTGGTGTTATTTTTCTAATAAAAAAACCTTTTACTCAGAATTTTATGGAATTATTTCGATTTGGAGGGAGCATGACAAAAAACGGTGTATCGTTTTTGAATTTTTTGTGGAATCAAAATTTGGCCAGTGGTCAATAGTTGTGTTGAATATAATGAATTAAAAATAGCGTGTAAATGAGATGACCTTGCAACCTTGATGTTTATATCGTGTTTAATGAGAGTTTAGTGAAAACATATGATAATAACATTTTTATGGATGATGCAAACCCACATCGGAACAGTATGCGGGACTTATAAAAACATCGACCCGAATGACACCTCTCTTATTTAAAAATAACATCACGGTGATAAATATTGGCTTACACGGCTTACAACATTGGTGTTTTTAGTTCTCATTCCTCGTGCAATCACAATCAGTCTACAAATATCCGTCAAGGAAAACAGTCTCTCGGTGGGTGTCTTTTTTTTGTGCCCGTTTCATGATGAAAATTAGTCCAATCAACGTTATCAAACTTCTCATGACAACATTTGAAGTTCTTAATCTTGCTGAAACGCCTGTGAACAATGATGAACGCGAATTAGCGGACAGCTTCCAAAGGATATTAATTCAATCCAAGGAGGAATACAATGACGTTGAAATGATTGAAGAATCATCTCTGGATTTTCAAGAGTCATATAAATATATAGAAATGATGGCGATTGAAGATAAAGCATTTCAACCACATACTGAAGAATCATCTGAAAGTTGTTCAGAACATGAGGAACCCATTGACTTTAACTATAAACAGAGAGCAGTTGAATTCTGGAGAAATGCAAAAACGAAAGAAAATCTTTCCGTAAAAACTGTTGTACGTCGATTTAAAAAGGTAAAATCGAGTCGACAGTTACGACGCTGGGCGCACTAAATAAATAAAGGAGAGACAAATATGGAGAAGTTGAAACGTATTTTGGAGTACACATAGAAAAATATGGAAAATGCTATTGATGCGGGATTAATCGTTCACGATACTGACCTACGAAGGTGGACACTGCAAGCCCGGAAAGAAATTGCATTCGATGTAGCGCGTTTTACGGCTTTGCCCTGCTGGCTGCATTGTTTTAAAAAGGCACACCGTATTACATCTCAGAAGATTAACAAATTCTTTACGTAGAAAACATTGGAAAATCGAGAAACTTTACAAA